TTCAAATAAAGTGTTACCAAAAAAACTTAAATCCATCAAATTAGTGAAAATAGTGAAAAAACAAAACATATAAAATGCCCATGGTTAACAAGGAATTAGAATGTTTATAAGGACAAAATACTTTACATTGAAAATTTCTTATATCATGTCTGATGCATCTGACTATAAGTATAAAATATATCCAATCACCTGATACAATAACTTGTAAATTATGCTATACCACACTTTGAATAATAATAAGATTAATTTAAAAGGGTCTGGGGAATACTAAATACTGTTATTAAATGTAATATAAAAAATACTTCATATCCAGACTCCTTCAGTGACAAGAACAGTGATAATTATAACAATAAATGAAGTTGTAAATAGTTTCAACAAAACTTTGTATATATTTGGCAGATGAAATCCCTCAGTGTATGGGCAAAAAACTGAACAGTTTGTCCATAGAAATAAATTCAAAGACAATATTTCTCTCTTTAGTAACTGAGATAGAATTAATAGATATTGTTAATAACTGTAAAACAAATCATCTACTGATTCTTATGATATAGACACAACATTAGTAAAGTACATAATGTATACATAATATTTCATAAACCTTAATGTATACACGCAATGTATATGAAAATTGCAAAAGTAATACCTCTAGATTGGAAACAAACATTTTCACAAAGTACAAACCTGTCTCTCTGACTTTTAGTTGGATTCAAATGTATTTAATAAGGAGAAAGCAGGTATTTCCTTGAGCGGTCCCACAGGGATCTGTAATTGGGTCCATATTTGTTTGATATACATATCAATGATGTATTTGATGTATCTGAATAATTAGGAATAATTAATATTTTAGGATGACACCACCATATTCTACACTAGTGAAAGTTATAGGGATTTTAATGCATAATATAAATAATAAACAATTTAAGCTAAAGTCATGGATAGATATGAACAAATTATCTCTAAATTTAAATAAAACTTAAATATTTGTTTCTTTCTGTATTTAGTTCTCTTTTCTAATCAGGTTTAAAGAAATTACATTATATTGTGTTGTATTTGATTTCTTACTGACTTGCAATAAACAATAAACTAAGGAAACAAACAAAACAAATGAACCAACCCGCTTTAGCAAAAACCTGGGTTAGTTGCATATATCCTATGCTCTCAGATAGGCAAGTTAAAATTCTGATTACACAGAAAGTAGAATAGATTACACTATTTCCGTTTGAACTGGACTACACCAACTTACTATCCATGCACTATCTTGCAGCTACACCTTTAAATGCCCAGCCATGGAACATCTACTCTGCCTAAAATCTTCCTAAACAACAGAGACAGATAACTCACCTCAGGAGATGGAAGCCCTACTGGGGCCCTGCCATCCAACATTCCTCTAAGCAACTTGTCACCAAGAATGTGCTTGAGGTGTTGGGCCATGACTCTCTGCTGGTCAACACTGCAGTGGTTCTCGATTGACAGGATAACTGGATATTCTGATATCTGGAGAAGGGAAATGATGGGGAAGCATAGAGTGCAAAAGAAGGAGAGCAGATCCATAAATTATAAATTATAGACCTTTCCCAAGCTAAATTTCCAAGCTGCTCCTTAACAGCTATCTCTATAGGTATAAAATACTATTCAGGAGTTAGCTGTTAAGCTAACTAGCAGCTAGCACAGCTAGTTCTTCTTAACATAAACTAGCTCTAAATTCAGTTTGAACACTCATTGTAGGAAAAAACACTCATTGTAGCGTTATCATTTTAAAGGTTTGAGTTTGACCAATCAGTAAATGTGAAGACAAGGTGGCATAAAGGAAGAACCTTGTGACCAAAACAGGATATCCATGCACACTTATTCACTCAGCACACTAAGATACACAGAAACTAAGCCCTCAAAAGAAATATCTACCTCAAAAAAATGCAAAGACATACTTTCATTCACACTCAAACAGAATACAGTTTAATAATGTTAGGGTGAGCTAAGTACTCTCATTGCTTGAAAAACAGCATTGTTCAATTCCATGTTCTCAAATCTGTGAACTCCACCCATGAACTATGCAAAACATTGTCTTGTTCACTGTAAGGCTTGAACATTGAAACACAATCGGTCACATAGCCAGCATGTTCTGCTGGATTGAAATACTGTTTGACATGAATATGATTCTGCTAGCTTTTTTTTCTGGCCAGTGCTTTCGTTTAATCTGTTGTGTATCATTGCACAGCTTTACCCTCTCTTCTCCGTCAAAGGGAAAAAACAGCGTATATTCTGCTTTTAAGTCAATTAGTATTGTTTATTAGTTTGGATGATTACAGATTGACATATTATCAATTTAACAATATATTAGTTTAAGGTAAGTATTAGTATAATGTGTTTTCCAGCCATATACTGCCTTTTCATAGCACAACTAAGTCAAAAAAATTGTCAGTCTTCAGTTTATGAAAATAATGCTGCATATATCAAATATAACTTAAAAAAAATTTGATTTCATACTTTAATACTCACCCAACAAACAGCAGCAGGTTGTGGGGTTATGTATGGAACACCATACACAACCCCACAACCTGGAACCTCATACTCATGCTGGTCACCACGTTGGTTACCCACTGCTGTGTGATGACCAACCATTCCTCAACCAGCATTTGTTGGAAGTCAGTCATTGTGGTTGCATTTGTCACTCTGGCACACCCTAGCTGAATTCATAAGTGTTGAATGGGCTTTCCATCGTCTCTTCTCCTAAATTCTGGAGGTAGTTTGTGATAAACCCCATTTAGTGGGGGTGAAAATTAACACGATGACAAATCGTGTTAATTTTTTGTCCCAGACTACGAATATATGAGATTACTGGTTACAAAGGTAAAGGTAATTTATTTATATAGCAAATTTTCAGCAACAAGGCAATACAAAGTGCTTAGTGCTTACAAAATCTAATTTCAATATCTATCTGGAATGAGGTTGCCCAGATATTTTGACAAACCTTATTTTTTTAGTAAGAGTGGTTCCAGCCCACACCATCATACGGTGAAAAACTTTACACCTTTTTACATTTGCTGCATTATCAGACTCATTGGAAGGCAATGCTGGAACACCATTCACTTAGAGATGTATGTCTTCATACATCATAGAAAAGTAAGACAGATACGATACATGCTGGTGGGAAGGGGTTATAAATTGGAGCTATGAGTTTGAAGTAGCATTAAATTCTTAACCTAGCTACAGGAAACCATATTTTTGCACAACATAATTTCAGTTAGCCAAATATTTGCATCAAAGACAATACATGACAGATAGCATTACCTTGAAAGCATATTTTCCCACTGCATTGACCACATCCTTGAAGAGGATCTTAGAGGTGAATGTATGTCCATGATAGACAATGGGCTCTCCATTGGCACCATCCCAACAGTCTACTTCCACACACCTGCAGCCTCGATTAAGAGCCCTAAACAATGACGACAAATCCATCTTTTATCACTTAGTCATGAAAATCAGAAAAAAAAATGCTCTACTGCAGAGCTTATCTCTTCTGTTAATCCCAATATCAGAGTAATGAAACAGAATTAATCAACTTGGAGCATTTAGATGTCAAAGCTTTCATAAAAAAGGTGGACAATTAAGGTTAAGGTCACTGTGACTCTAATTTTATGATAAATCTCATCACATTTTAATATCACACCATCTTGTTACACTTCATGTGATACAAATGTACAATTAAAAAAAGATTTCTTTAATCTTTCCACCTTCCAACACTACATTTTGTACAATCAGACTTTTGAGAGCTACCTGATGTATCCTTCCACACTGCTTTGTCCTCTGAGCTGGTCCTCCATCAGATATGTGTTGTGGGAGGAGGAGATGAAGTAATGGCACAGTGGCTGACTCATGTCTTGAAAAATGCCCCTGCACTTTGGACTGAAGATAGAGCCTTCAGCAGAACCAAGGTACATCAAGAAGCCATCAAATGTCATAGCCTTCAGTTGTTTCGCTGGAATGAAACAAGAACTGATAAGCTCTGTGTTTGTAAGGCAAATGAAACGTGTATTCCTGAGTATGTACCTGTATCTGAGGGCTCATAGTATTTAATTAGCTCTTGAGCATGGTGTTGGATATCAACATCCTCCAGCTGCTCCTCTCTCAGGAAGTCCTCTATGTCACTCTGGGATAACTTCTGACCATCAGATGAGTACTCCTGGAAAATTTTCAAAATATCTTCTCTCTGGGTTATCATCTTGTAGAACAAGACAAACTCATCCCCTTCGAGGGCACCAGTCTGTGATTTATCTGCCATCTGTTGAAAAGAAAAGAATGATCAGGGTGTGGGTCTGCAATGACTGTCCAAAACACAGTCAATGCAGACCCACACAGCAGGTCTTTATCAAAAGGCTCTCACTGTGAACAGACGGTGAGCATGGTGTTCATTCATATCCACATTCATCATCCTCAGGAGATCTCGCACTTCCTTGAAGTTCATCCTGCCATCGTTGTTCTTATCAGCCTTTTTGAACCAGTCACCTATCCATCTGGGAATAGTGCTTAAAGAAGCAACAGTCACTGTGTTCTTGTCCAGTTAGTTGGGGAAATTGTATACCAAGCATCGCTCTCGGAAATTATTATAAATTTACAAGGAAAACTATTCCTCCATGGGAGCATTTGTGAGGTTTGTGAAGACTTTTCAAGATCTCACAATCTTCCTTAATTGAGTCCAAATGTATTCTGTTTGGTTGAGGTCAAGTTCCTCCATAACAACTCCAACATCAATTCCTTTTTGGAGTTTGCTTCATCGGTGCACACTTGGATTTAGAATAGGAAGAAACCATCCCTAAAACAGTTCCCACATAGTCAAGAGCATAGTACTGTCCAACATCCCTCAATATGCTTTAGCATATTTAGATTTCTTGTTACTGGAAACAAGGCACTGACGCCAACCCCTAGAAATCAACCAAACACCCTTTCTCCAAAATCATTCTACCAATTTCCTGACAAACACAGATTTGTTTATCAGAATGCCTTGTTCCAATTCTGGGATTTCACATAACCAATCCTTCCAACTTTGAAATTGCTGTATTTTGACGGTGCTTCCTTTTTACTATGATACTACCAGTTGGCCCTGGGATTTTTAGAAGCAACATTTAATTACTGAATTTACTGCACAACTTGCCATGCTTGAATTCACTTAACTCTTGAGAGCAATCCATTCTTTCAAATATTTTTGAAAGAAGTCTTCAAGCCCGGATGCTGGATTTTATACATCTGTGACCACAGAAGTGATTGGAACTCATGAACTGAATGATTTGCTGACCTTGTAAGGCAATATACCTTACAGTGAGGCAAAATGCAGAAACTCTTAATAAGTAAACCCCAAATAAGAAAGGATACTGGTCTAGTTTTTCCCTCTCTCCCATGTTTTCCAGGTTTTCAATCAGCTTCCTCATGCCTTTGATCCAGGACTGGGCCTCCTCGGCTGACTCGGCCACCAGGTCCAAGTTCCCTCTGCGACCATGGAACACCACCGTGAAGCATCGGTTAGCAGGGAACTCGTCTGCGATGCTGAGAAGTACTTCACTTTGATGGCCCTCTCGCACTACTTCCACATCCCTCATAGAAACTGCACACAAAGCATTGTGTAAGTATCACATGGAAAGACCACAGACTTAATATAGATACAAAAATCTGAACGTAACATAAAAGCACAAATTGACTTTATCTTTATCCAAAATCAAGAGCTATGACCAGACTAAAGCAAGATAACTATTGCCTTTTTTGCAACCATCTGCAATATTGCTAAACTGTCAACTCTTACAGGTGGAGTGAGCTTTGCCAGCTTTCTTGGATTTGTACCAGATGGTCATGCAGTCATCCTGGAGCTTGAAATATCGTTGTTTTTTCCAAGTACGAGACTTAATTTTTCTCATAACTGTCCCCACCAGCATGGACTGCAGGTTCTCATCCCCCTGAATACCTGAGCAGAAAAGAAAAGCAGAGATGCTAAGATAAACTGACAGACCTCCTGGGAATATTCACATACAGAGGAATGCTTAGTTTAGTAAGTGAAGTCAATAAAATTCATTACTGTTAAACATAATTATTTTAGAATCATGTGAGGACTAGAGGTTTGACTTGACTTACGGAGGCCGCTCTCTGTGGAAGCCATCTCCTGCTGTCTTATAGAGGCATCTAAGCAGAAGAACACAACAGGCAGTAACAGATCATAAATGAAGCTCATAAAACATTCTACAGGGTTTGGTAATAGATTATAAATACATATAAATATTAACAGTTGGTGATGGTGGTGACTGTGGTTGGAGTTTGCCAGTTCAGTCCCCGCTCCCTCTCTCATTGTGTTCTTGGGCAAGACACTTCACACACCTTCCCTGCTGGTGGTCAAAAAGCCTGGTGGTACCAGTCACTGCATGGCAGCCTTACCTCTGTTTAGAACCAAATGTTCTGGACATTTGGTTGTGTTGACACTCTATGTTGTTATGTGCAGCATTTTTCAGATGGTTCTTTAGCATAACAGCCAGCAGCACAGGGAAGCAGGTCCAACTTCTTTAATGCAAACTATTTTGTAGTGTGTGTAATCTAACAGAGGAATTGCTTCTGTGTTTCATCCCAGTGAAACGTGACCTGAACGCCTCACCAGGCAGGTGTCATAACCAGACGCCCCGGCCACATCAACTGACTATTTTTACATTAATTTAGATAATTTTTCAAATAATTTATTATTTTATTAATATCTTTTGTGTTTTTTCACCTTTTGTAACTAATGACTAATAACTTTTATGCTCTATAAAACAGAGGCAACCTCAGTTTTCTGTTCTATCGCTGCATGTTTCATCATCAGTTGCAGTGTGACTATTCAGCCTGTGCCTCTTTGGGGGATGGTTAAAGCTGATGTGGATGCTGCTTTGCCTCTCCATTGTGTTTCATTGCATTCACTTTTTGAAAAGCTGCCTAAGCTGACTAATCTTCTCAAATCCCTGTCACCTTCACTCTTGACCTCAACACTGAGCCAGAGCAGCAGCGGGTCGTCTCTGCAAGTTGAATCATCTGCAGAATTGCAACAGAAGCACATCTGCACATGGAGTTTCATGCAGAAGTCTAAATCCAACTGTCTAGATCCGAAGCGTAAAATGATGATACGACATTCCACTGCAACAATGAACCGCATAAATATGCATGGCTTTGCATTTCTTTGACTTTTACTCTAATCTATGCCCATAGCTAAACTTTTAGATTTAATGAAAGAAGATAAAAAAGAAGATATACCTTTTTTCATTTCTCGTCTTTGTGCATGTTTAGTTTCAGGTTCTAATTTCTAACAAGCTAAAACAAGAAACGTTTGGTCTGATTTAATGTCTAACAGTAAGAAAAACTGTTTGTCTTTTTACTTTTTACATGTGAATATCTGGTTTCAATTGTACATAAAAATCAAGCACTTAATTATACTCACCTGATACTTTTGACTAAAAAAGTTTGATGATACCCAGCCAGCAAACCTAGGTGGGCCCCATATGGGATAGGTGAGGGCAAACAATTTGCCAACATTCGCCCAGATAGAAGATCCCTCTGGGCGAATCCATGTAGGACCACCATGTAAACCACGGGCAAAACCTTCCAGGACCCATGTTGTTTGCTCTCTTTTATCCCTTATGGGGCCCACCTAAGCATCCTGGCTCAGTATCTGTTCAAAACTTTAAAGACTTAACTTGAATTTTGTTTTTAAAAATGAAATCAGAGGTCTACACATCAATGCTGAAAACTGAAACTTGTTCACAGTTTAGCAAGTCTATGTGCAAAAGTAGAAAACCCAGCATATGATAAGAATTTAAAATTTAAACAGGAATGTTTTAGAAACTAAACATGTGTCTAACCTGTTGGATGATCATTCCTAAATTCTGGTAGCTGATCCTGTGGTTCTGCTGCTGTCCCATTGCACTGTGCAGCAACATGGGAAAGCAGAGTCACCCCTCCTACCGCCACCTCCCCCCTTTCTCTCCCTCTCATTTTTATTCTCTTTCTCTCTCTGGCTTCTGCAACAAAGCAGAGATACAGTGTTCAGTCGGCTGTTTGGTAATTTGTGTAACTGTTGCACTTAGTGGAAATTGTCTGAAAATGTGTTTGGATTTACCAAAACGTGATACACATCATATTTCCGGTACAGAGGAAGTCCAAGTTTGTTGTTATGGAAAATGACTGAAATGAATTATGTGGTGGTTTAAAGGTTTCATCACAATCTGTTTTACTAAACCTGCTGCTCCTGTCATTCTACATGATCAGTGGTACAGGACCACACAACCCCTCTACTTCCATTCAGGAGTAGTGGAACCGCAGCATACAGTGATCCACCATGTTTTCTGTCCATCTCAGGTTACTAAGATCTGCTCATCAAATTTTGATCAGCACAGTTTTCAGGACTGGACGGACGGCACCACGAGAACATAAGTTCCTGCTTACAGCATCCGCATTCCCTGTGGAGTCATTACATACATGATTCACACATACATATGCAGGTTCTTCTCATCGGACTGAAATCTCCTTTCTCGCGTCAGCCATGCTCCCTGCTAAGGTTGAGACGCATCAATAATCCACAGCTTCAGCTCAGTTTCACACCTCAGATTACACACACTGAGCCAAGACAAAAGTGGACAGATCTCCTTCATGATAATCTTAAATGGACCAAACATCACCTTCAATTTAGGTCAAAAGACATAATTTACCCATTATACACATTTAGTTTGCTTAATTTGTTTAAAATTTAACTTTCCGGAAGGCTATAAAATAAAGAATAGGCTTATTATTAGATAATAATAAACTCTTTGCCAAAATAAACCAGAGTAAGGAGCAGTGAAGAAGTAAGTAATCACTAGGTGTATATACACACACACACACACACACACACACACACACACACACACACACACATACATACTCAGGGCTGGTTTAGAAACATCGTGTTAAAGCTGTGTTATGCTGATAGTTTAAATGTCTTCTCCAAACTCAACTAATCCAAAGACGAGAAGCAGCCAGACGTATTAGTCAGCTGAACTCTAGTGAAAAAATAAAATAGGATGAATGAATTATACATAACAGTTATAATTTACAACAATGTTGGAGCTCAGAAAAATAGACTTCTTCTCTAAAGAAAGTCTCATTCTGCCTCTACTTCTGAAGCATCATGGGATATATAGTCCCTTCTGCTAAATGTCAACAAAATGGTGCAGTTTGTAAAGTTACACAGTAAAAAATTAATAGAAATATTTAGGTTAATGTAGCCTGTCAGAGAAATAAATGTGTGTTCATTTTTCAAAATCATAATTTCATCATGTTATGCACACATTTATAAATGTCAGAGTTCCAAACTAAATACACTGCTCAAAAAAAATAAAGTGAACACTCAAATAACACATCCTAGATCTGAATGAATGAAATATTCTCATTGAATACTTTGTTCTGTACAAAGTTGAATGTGCTGACAACAAAATCACACAAAAATCATCAATGGAAATCAAATTTATTAACCAATGGAGGCCTGGATTTGGAGCCACACACAAAATTAAAGTGAAATGTTCCCTTTATTTTTTTAGCAGTATATTTATTTCACAAGGTGAATTAACTAAATATTTAGAGTTTAAAGCACATTTTCAGCATTAAGGCAATATAAAGTGCTTTACATGAATTAATAAAAGGAAATACAAACAAAATAACAAACCAAAGGAAAGAGCAAAAGAAGAAAAATAATCTAATGGTGATCTAGATCAGTGTTTCTCCACCCTGGTCCTCACCCCTCCCCCCCCTGTCCTGCTTGTTTTAGGTGTTTCCCTTCTGCCACACTTGAATTGTATCTCTGGGTGATTAACAGGCTTCTGCAGTACTTG